CATGTCGCTGTTTATCCTCTGCATGGACTGGACACTTACAAAGTGTTTAACTTTTGACACCTTTGCTGAAAAAAAAAATCTAACATTTCTGTTGTATTTAAAAACAAATTTTGGATAAAACGCAAGAAAGAATTTTTTCTGTCCATCGTATCTGACTGACAGGAATTTAAACTTTGTACACCCGTCTCTGTAACAGTAATGAGACATCCTCTGTTGTCTGAATCATTCCCTCATGGGTTTCAAACAATGCAACTGAAAGCTTTTTTTTTCAGATTTGCTTTTTGATTATCTTTGCCGCCTCCTCTCCGTGGAGTCAGTTGGCACGCTGGTGTGTTCCTGCAGAGTATAAATAAAGAAAAAGAAAAAAAAAAAGAGTCTCAGAGCAGGACGGTGAATGGAGACGATGATGGCCTGCTGCCAACGAGGGAAAGAAAGAAAAAAAAAACGGACTGATTCCGGCGTCAGAAGGAGAAACATGGCAGCCAGGTAAACAGATGGAAGAGTGACGAATCACTGTGTTTTCAAACTGTTTTATCCAAGAAAAAACCTGCCAAAAACACACAACAAATATCGCTGGAAAACCTAAAAGATCCAATATTTCCCTTTCTTATACGCATGATTAATGTGTGTTTAAAAAGAGAAAGAATTCCATCTTTGCTTTAAAAGGTTTAAGTGGCTGACATTCTAAGAGCTGGTCCTCCTCTGACAAAGTTAAATTGACAGGCATATCTATCCGTCTTCTAAAGTGCGAGCACAATAACGGCATGAATAGACTTTTTTTTTTTTTTTTTAATTATCCTGAAATGTCGTCTCACCCTCAATTCGCTTCTCGGGCAGTGGGTTTGAAAAGACGTGTGAGTGACAGCCGCTGAACGCAATCTCACAGCCGTAGCTGAGAAACTTTTACTTTAATTGCTCCGAGTGTGTGTGAGTCTTTGAGAGTGTGTGTGTGTGTGTGTGTGTGTGTGTGTGTGTGTGTGTGTGTGTGTGTGTGCCTGATGGACAGTGAGTTTGGCAGCCAAAGGGAGGTCCGACCACATTATTAACTAAGCAGCTTCAAGTAACCCTTAGAATCAGTTTATCTGCCGCTTTGTGGGAGGCGGTGAAGCACTGTAACAAGCTGATTTATGAGTCGAAGAGATGCATGATGGGTACGGATAATAGAACAGGGAGTATTGTTGAGGGTTCAGAATGCACGCCACTTCAAAAACCGGACTGGGGTCTGAATCTGTGGACTAAAAGAGGTTGTAAGCAGAAGTTAAGCAGCCTCATAACTTAGTTGGCATCTTGTGAGTTGGAGTAGGGACATCATGGGCGACGTGCTTATCCTGCTGCCGCTGCAGGTTATAGGAAAATTCTGCAATATGCAATAACTATTTCTCAACCGTGGGATTCTGATTATGCTGATGATGAGGTGTACACCATTCGCTCTCTTATTCTGTTGTCAGTTATGTTTCAAACAGCGCTTTAAAGTTGTCTATGTTGACTCTATGTTGAAATCGTTCGCGGAACAGACGTGCTCTTCTTTTTTTCTGGCAAGGTCTTCATCAATCACACTTCCCTCGATCGTCTTCTCTTTCCTCAGCCAATCATTCCGCCTAACTGCGCAGCCGCCACCAAATGGACTCCGATTAATCCGAGGGGAGGCGAAAGGCAAGCTGAAGCCACATCTGGTCGACCAAATGGTTTGAATGTCACGCCCCTCAATCAGGGAATTAGCAGAATGGACGCACGGACGGCGGACATGTCGCTCTTGCGCTAGTGCGGCCGGAAATTTGAGGTCGAAGTTGGTAAAAGGTCGGAAATAGAGGCTACCTGGCTGGCCATGTATATAGCCGGGCGGCCTGCCTGAGTATTGTCTATGTGCGGGACACACTGCAGAGGGCAGCTTGTTCTGATGCAGAGGGAAATGAGAGCGAATCACCATCATGTAAATATTAGATTGCATGTATGTGTGAATTGAGATCATGATTTTATTCATGATTAATCCTGAAGCTCTAATGTCCTATGTATTCATTTATGTATTTTAATCCATCTGATGTCAGTTCTTTGCATGCTGACATCATGGTGCAAGTACATAACGTTTTTTTTTTTTTTTTTTTTACATGTTTCAGGCAGTCTTTACAATGTGTTTTTATCACAGGTGCAATGATGAAAACTGGATTTATCGTACAGCCCAGAGCTGCTGGAAATTACACATCCTAAACTGTAATTGCAAAGGGACATTACATGAATGAAAGTGTCACATTGGAAGCAGGCTGTATATTTGATCTGAGCTGAATATGTAGTTGTGGATTCATGACTGGAATCTAAAGGAGACCTGGACTCAGACGTGGAAATGATCTGCATCGGTCTAATGGTATGTGAAAAATGAACTGACGCCAACCTTTATTGCTATTCAATGAAAGAGAACAATTCTGAATGGGAACAAGGAGAATACCAAAAAAAAACGTGCTTGACCTAAATAGACCCAGAACAGTCTTGAAAAGTCTTACAAATAAGTGCACATGGTTAGAGACTGGATATTTGTTCAGCACAAGGTTCCCTCATCTGATCTCTGATCCTCTTTCCTATCTTTCATATCACTCCTCTGTGTCCTCGCTGCATTTTTCTTTTACGTCTGTTTTCTGCCATTTTTAAAAAGCGAGCACAGAAACGGGTGATGAAAGAGAGAAAGAAAGAAAGAGAGGGAGAGAGAGAGAGCAGGAAACACGAGGGGATAGAGATGGCATAAAAAAGGATCACAGAGCCCTGATCCCCTACTCCCGCTCGCCTGACTGAATGAGGACGTAGCCCTCGGCCCCTGGGCTCCATATCCTCCTCCCTCTGTCCCTCTATCCCTCTAACCCCCTCTCCGTCTCCCGCGCGATCCCTTCCCATCCTCTTATGGGAACATTCTGGATGGAAACCGAGTCAAGTGATGAAGGGACCGCGGAGAATCGGGGTTTCATCAGCTTGGCATATGTGTGTCAGTGTGTGCCAGCGGAGAGACAAGAGTGTGTGTGTGTGAAGGGAGGGAGGGAGGGAGGGAGGGAGGGAGGGAGGGAGGGAGGGCTGGCGGGATCACACATAAATAACAAATCAAAGCTACTAGAAAAAGAAGCTAATAGGCAGAAAACGTGAACGTGTGCTTTTAGGAAAGGTGGCAGTTCTCACTTTAAGCAGGGTGAGGATGGTGAGTGCGGGTGGGGTGGGGGTGGAAGGGGGGGATTGAGGAGGAGGGAGAGACGAGTAAGTGAGTCATAGTATTAACTCCCAGGGCCTCCTGCATAATCATTTCAGCTCACGCTTCGTCACAGCGAGCTGAATCACCAGACGGGCACGTGGCCACAGGAACCCGAGCCAAAACGTCTCTGCCAGACGGCTCCTGCATTATCTGTCACTTTCTCCGTCACACACACACACACACACACACACACACTTCAGAGATAAGGAATGTTCTCCAGTTCATCCTGTGGACTCTCCGACCCTTTGACCTTGTCCCATTGATGCTCGTAATCATAGAAAGTCATGTAAACAAATGCACATTGGCTTTAAGACACGTGTACATGTGACTAAAGAGTGAGTTCATTTCAACAATAAGTCTGTGGAGAATGTGTCTATGAAGGGGATTTACATTGATTTAGAGCAAGAGACCGACTGGCCAACGATTCATCTTCCCCTTCAGTGCCTGGCTCGTCTCCAGACGAAACCATTTCAACATAGATTTGCAAAACAACAAGAACAACAGGAAGCCGGATTAACACTGTTTCATGCCTACATACCAACAGTCAAGTTGCAGCTCACGTCTGAAAGGGTTTGAAACTCTTTCCAGGAACATTGTATCTTAAAATTGAACTGGCCATATAATAATACAAAAAAAAAGGTAAGGTTTGAACCTCAAGAGGAGATTGTCTTTATCTGTATGTCTGTATCTTGACCTTTGACGACCAAAATTCAGTGAGTTGACTCTTAAATGTGAGTGGACGTTTGTCTTAGATTTTAAGATATTCTCTCCAGCTGTTCCTGAGATATTGCTTTAACAAGATTTGGTCACGACTAATGGCTAGATAAGCCTTTTTTTTTTTTTTTAACGAGGACACTATGATTTGACCTTTGACCTTTTCAGTAAAATGTCATAACTTCACCATTTTTTGTATTACTCATTTGAGGGAAACTGAGTCATAGTGCATGAGTCATAGAGTCTAGGCCAATAACCTTTTTTTTTTAATGGTCCCACTGACCTTGACCTTTGACCTTTAATCACCAAATTCTCAAGTTTTTTCTCAAATTCTCGAGTACAAGTGGACGCCTGTATCAAATAACATACGCATGAGGTTTGGTTTCTTCAAAGTTCGTCTTTGTACGTTGTCAAAAATTCATAATCGTAACAATAGCAAACCCTGTAAGCAGCTGGATTCTACTTCTTGTTTTTACATATTTTAGATGTCTAGATGTGCTCGGAGCTGTTTCTGATCCCAACACTCTCAGCATGAAATCAGAATTAGCGTCTCTCCGAAACAATTCAGGGGTCACGACTCCCCTCGTCGGCTAACAAGTCTCTGCACATCCTTTCCAGGAACAATCTGTGTCAGAGATCTCCCCGACACTCAAGGGCTCTCCTGGATTTGTTAAGCAAACAAACCTCTGATAGCAATCTCTCCCTGTACACCGATGCTGATTTGCATTGCAAATGATCTCGATCAGCGGACACCGCGGGGGGGGAGAATGAAGCAATTTTTCCGACCGACAAACAACAAAGGGAAAGCCCTCGCATCACACCTCCTTATCCACAGCCAGATTGGAGCCGCTCTGTGCTGATGGAAGTCTTATCTCTGCTGGCCTTCTGTCCGCTTAAAGCGACAGGGACCTCTATGCACACGGCACCCGGGGGTCCACCAAACGCTGACGGCTGTGTAAGCCATGATGTAACCCAGTACAGTCTTTATAGTCCATACTGACAAAGTAGAGCTCTAGAAGTAACAGATGGATGATGGAAAACAGAGAATTCGGCCAATTACCTGGAATTCAATGCCATAGTTCTCCCTGCAGAAGTCCCGTAGTTTAGGGTAGACGTGTTCTTTCAGTGCGTTCCTCTCCGCCTCTGTGTCTGGAAACAAAACAAAGGGAGCATCCTGAGCGTTAGACAAACTTGTGATTAAATCCAATGTAAAGCATTTGTGCACAGGCACAAACTAGACATCATTTAGCTTTTCCCCCCCACATGATCTGATTGAAGAAATCGCCTCAAATACCACTGTGATTCCTCCGCTTTAAAGATTCTATTATATTCACTTTCACTATTCATTTGTTGGCGTATCGTTGCGAGATATGTAGGACAAAAACCTCCTTATTCATGGATACTGGCGTCAGTAGAATCCCAAATTTCAGCCTCTGCCTGAAACGATTAATTTTACACTGCTGTCTCTTTAAGGCCATCCCTCCCCACGTGTCCACGTTCCACCGATTGGCTAGGCTCTGTTTGCAGTCACAGGGACATTTGAGTGAGCTTCCAGTTGGGCTTCCATGCTTTGCTCTAATATTTTGCTTGAGAAATTACTTGAAATGTTGAAGGACAAGTGTGTAACTCTGACACCTAGTGTTCAGAATAGGTACTGCAGTACACTTCAAAACATTGGAGGGAGCTGTCTACCCCAACTCCCTCCTCCCTAGAGTCGATGTGCATGCAGGTTGCCATTTCACTGATAATGAAGCTTCAGTGTTTGGCCAGCTCTGCATACTGAAACCTTCCTGCGTTCTAACCTCTCTCCATTTTCCCAAAGCATCTCCAATATTCTAGTTTTTCCAAGTTTCTGGTTGTGGAGCTTATTAGAAAAATGCAGAGGCTTTTTTCAGGTCGGTTAGAATCAATTATATCTGAGCCAGTTCGCTTGCCCGCTGCCATTTGTGCAACACCTGTTGGTTTGCCGTTTGCCTGGAAAACCCAGTGGCAAAACAGCTGAGTGGGGATAACTTTCAAACTGAATACCTTGTCGGGTCAACACAATAACAAACCATTCCTCACAGCAATCGGACGTAAGAAGGAGGACATACAGTACAGGCTGCTGCGTTGTTGACAGAGAAGCCAGTACTTCATCATAGCATGTTTCCGTAATGTCTGATGATAAGGTCATTCAGTGAATATCTTACATGTTGGGCCTCTAAAACAGTTGATTTGCAAATCAATAAATCAAATAATAATGTCAGAACTATGTTAATAAATCCTGCATGGGTATAATTTTTAAGCATATAAAACCTTGAATAACCTGGAAGAGCTGCTGCTGACACACTGTTGAAGAATGCAGGATTGTCCAGCCTCACGCTGGCAGTGATCATATTGGACAGTCAAGAGTGTCGCACACACACACACACACACACACACACACACACACACACACACACGCACACACACACACAGTGAGCGCCCACGGCTTGTTGTTGTGTCCCACTTTCTCCTCCTCCTCTCTCTCTCTCTCTCTCTCTCTCTCTCTCTCTCTCTCTCTCTCAGTGTCTTCCAAATGGTTACTGTAATGTATTCGGACAGGCCGGCCTCTTCCTTCCCCTCCTCACTTCCTCTGAAGGATGGACGGCTTTAAAAACAGAACATAACCGGCAGAGAAAACCCTCTGAGTTACCAAGACTCTGGACATGTGAACACACTAATATTCGTCGGAAAATAAAAAAAAAACCCTAACACATCTAGCCTGACGTATCTTCCCAACGTCTATCTTTAGTAAGGCCCTGAGCCGTGACCGAGCATGTATCCGCTCAAAGCTACGCGGTCAAAATGTCAAATCAAAAGCGAACGGTGGTAATGGTATGCAAATGAAATAAATGGCAGTTGCTGGATCAGTGGAGCCCTCATTTCATTCCATCAGAGAGACATAACAGGACTATAAATGTGAAATATATCTCCCAGGTGACATCTTAAACGCCGAAATAGAAGCGTTTATGGCATTTAAACCTGTTTGGTAAGCGCTGAAAAATAGCAGAAACACAAAACTGTGTTGTTCTCCCTCTGTTCCTTCTTCGTTTTGTGGGATGATGATGAGTTATGGCAGCCCAGCGTATGTGTGTGTTTGTCTCTACTGTGTGCACACCCACATGCAAAGAAAACAAAGCCTGGATGTTACATTCGCCCTCTATCTCACTGCATTTTGTCCCTCCCTCCAATTTTCCAATCTGTTCATTTCAATAGTGCAGACCAATCTATCTACGCCTTTTCAAAAACGTCCTGTCAGCTTACCTTTTTTTTTTTTTTCTCACATCTTTTTCTGCCTTCATTCCGCATCCTTTAGGGACAGTGATAATATAGCTGAATGTCTCTGGTTGCTTTTCTTATGAGTATTTCTAACTCACTGCTAGGGATGCCACTCATGTTTCTTTTTTATATATGTATATGGTATAGGACCATATAAGGAGATCTGTGACTTTGTGATGTCATAAAATTAAGATTATGGAAAGAAAACATGGACTGTAAACATTAATGGACGAAGACTGAGTTATGTCACCCATCTGTTACGGCAGCAGTCTCCGGAGGCTCATCGGCAGCAGCCGCCATGCTGGAAATCCTGTCTCAGTCAAACTTTCAGTCAACCTAACGACAGGCTGAGAGCTGGAGCTGAGGCTTAAGCATCTGGACAAACCATTACATCACGCCCACCTGTCGATCCAAGCAGCTACTTGTCTAACTATGGATAACGTGTATTGTTCATAAAATCAAAACCAAGCCGTTTTTATAAAATTCGCTGTTACTAGGTAGATAGAAAGTTAAGTGCAGAGACAGCATTTCCAATATGGCAATTGCCATCGTTGGGCTTCATAACACTGTCTCAGAGTGGGTGACATCACTGAGACTATGTCCATGTTTTATACGTGAAGTCTGAGATCTGAAGCCTGCCGGATTACTCTTACTCGTACTTATTACTTTTACTGACTGATTTGAAACTTTGCCCACGTTTAATACAAATATCCAAGATAACAACATGCATGTCTGAAAATATCGAGCGGAATAATACCCCCCTCCCCCACACACTTTAAGATATTAATCTACAGTGAAATTTAACAGAACATCCCCTTTTTCACATTTTTCTGGCCCTTTTAAAACAATATCATGATAACAAGCCAGAAAGCTAAACTACAATCATTCTATCATAACACTATAAAGAGAGCTATCCTGACATTGTCTAAGATAGCGGTCACTCTCCAGCTGCCCCCTCTCCGAGTCTCATCAACCTGACTCAATCAACTCCGCTCTCATCAAGCGAAACACACTGACACTCCAGAGACACTCAGTATGCAAACCTGCACACAGATCTCTGATTAAAAGAGAGAGAGTGTGAGGACACGTTACAAGTGTTGCAGCAAATAGAACAACGCTGTGACATGGTGGACATCCTCGTTGACATGGTGGATACAGTGTTTGGGGAGACAAAGAAGTGGATGTACTGTTTTCCCTCTAAAACCCTAAGCTAATCTTGAAATGCCTTAAAACTGTGTTTTCTCCAGATGCCAGAAGGGGGAGAAATATGTTCGCCAAAAAGTCTGATTTTAAACCCTACTTCTCAATAGATTTAATCTCTCAGTTATAATATACCCTATGCAGGTATGGTTTTCAATTGCTAGTTTTAGATCTTCTTCAATAAATCATTGTGTTCAGTTCGTAAATGATGGTCCCATTTAGAGAGAAATAGAGAGTAGAGTTAACTACAGTTCGGGTGTAGCTACCACAAGTCACTACCATGGCAACCAGGTTGAGGAATACCATTGGTACCCTCAAACTGAGAGCCCACAAACTAATAAGAGAAGCCATGGTGGCTGCTTCCACCACTTACAGACCTACAATGAATATCAGCCTCTGAAATCTCTCTGTCTCAGTTATTTTGGATAAGCCAATCAATCATGGTAAACACAACCATTAAAATGTGATGTCATTGTAAAGACCAAGCTCTTGTTGGTTTAAATCTAACACAGAGACATGGCACAATTTCATATAGGCTATATGCAGTAGACAACAAGATGAACATCTTTGTGGTCCAGTAGCTACGGTATACTGGTTGAAGTTGGATTGGGTGTGATGGTAGTCTAGTGGTTGGTGCAACCCATGTACTGAGTCTATAATCCTCTGGATGGGTGGAACGGGTTCGAGTCCAACCTGTGTCATTCCCCACTCTCCATGATTTCACTCTCTCCACTGTCCTATCTCTAAATTAAAGGCCCAAAAAATAAACCTTAAAAAAAGCAGTTGGATGATCTTTCATCTTGTGGCCTTTAAAGATATTCATATTTAACAATGTGAAGGGCTTTGAGAGGGAAAATATCTTTTGGCCTTCAGTTGAAATAATGAAAAGGCCCAAAATAAAACAACAATCTGGACTGTAAGAAACTACGACATGATAGCCACTGATTTTCTAGCATCTAAGGCAGCGTGTTATTCCCTTTTTCTCATCTGTCATGTAAAATACATCAATTCATTATTACATAATTCATAAAGCATAAACGCCTGGCCAAATTAACGATACCTCAGGCATAAGAAATGACGTATTTTTTTCTCTGTAGGCTAATGTTCAGTGCTCAGAAAGTTTGTAGTTTACCAAACAAACATGTTACATGCAGATAGAGATATGAACCACCATACTGCAAACAAACACTCAATTAGTGAAATTGATTAAGAATTACCTGAACAGAGAGGAGAAACTAGAGGCAAACTATAGATGGGTGGGGCGCTGATAGCCGAGCTGTTATGATGCCCCATGTACAGAAGCCATGGTCCTCAGTGCATTGGCCTTGGGTTCGAATCCAAATCCATATTTAGGGACTACCATATAGGCTTCAAGCAATTCTTGTCCTGTCTAATTAAGGCAAAAATGCCCCAAAAAACTATGGATGGGTAAATCAGCTGCCCATGTAGGCCAGATGTTGTGGCTGGGTGTAAAGGGTTACAAGATATCTGGATACCAATGAATCCGAGGATAGAAAATCCAATGGACGTTCTCGTGCCACAACGGACACGTTAAACATGGAACTGGCAGAGAAGGGGACTCCACTGTCTCCCTGCCAGAAACCTAAATTGTGTTTGATTAAGCTTCCATAACAGTGGTTTCCCTCAGA